CTGAGTACGAAATTACAATTTAAACATATACTTCGATAGCAGAACTGACCTTAGTGTGTCCCAATAATACCAACATTTCCCTAAGCATGATTTCTAACATGAGTCACATCTCAATTTCTCTAACACATAAAAATACATGAAAAAATACAAGTTAATTGACTATACAACTCTACTAAATCAACTCAGTCTTAATTTCTATGGTGCACGCTCACACGCCCGTCACCTAGCATGTGCGTCACCTCCAAATAATTCACATAACACGTATGAGTACATCCGACCCCATGAACTCAATAAGTAACAAACCTAACCTTAGGTTGAAAGTAGTGACGAGCTGGAACAAAGGTCAGGGTCCAATACCAATAGCCAACAACAGTTCATAACAACATAATAGAAGTAATAAAAGAAGTAGCTCAGAGATAAAATGCTCAGCTCGTTCACAGTTCCAGAAAAATAGGCTTGCTTTTCAAGTATATCAGTGAAAACCCGAATCGTTTAACGAAATCACCAAAATATTAGTATGTTTTGTAAAACTGTGATTTTCCCTAAAACTTTTCAATAACAGATAGGATGTTTTATTTTCAAATGGCATGGGAAAAATACATCTCTATGCCTACATGTCAATGAGTATGTGAAGTCATGAATAACACAATATCATACAACACGAGGAAAAATGCATCTCTATGCATGTATGTCAAGTGTGCATGTCAATGCGATACATCTCAGTAATAAAACCATATGCATACTCTCAGAGTATCAATTCACTCAGTTCCCCCAGTCACACAGTCCTCACAGTCACTCAATCCTCCCAATCGCTCGACACTCGGCACTCAGCACTCAGTAGGTACCTACGCTCACTGGGGGTGTGTACAGACTCCGGAGGGGCTCCTTCAGCCCAAGCGCTATAAACCGCACTGACAACTCACGTGCTATAGTATAAATATCTGGATCCGCACGGATAACTCACGTGCTATAGTATCAATATCTGGATCCGCACGGATAACTCACGTGTTGCACAGACAACTCACGTGCTATAGTATCAATATCTGAATGCGCACGGACAACTCACGTGATGCACGAACAATTCACGTGTTGCACGGATAACTCACGTGCTATAGGATCAATATCTTAAAAATCAGGCTCTCGGCCTCACTCCGTCATCAATCTCTCCAGTCTCTCGGGCTCACAGTGTCATGAAACTAGCCTAAAATGATGATATGATGTATCAATAAATAACAACAGAGACTGAGGTATGATATGCAATGAATGTATATGACTGAGTCCGAAAATACAATTTAAACATACTTCGACAGCAGAAATGACCTCAGTGGATCCCAATAATACCAACATTTCCATAAGCATGATTTCTAACATGAGTCACAACTCAGTTTCTCTAACACATAAAAATACATGGAAAAATACAAGTTAATTGACTATATAGCTCTACTAAATCAACTGAGTCTCAATTTCTACGGTGCACGCCCACAGGCCTGTCACCTAGCATGTGCTTCACCTCCAAACAATTCACATAATAAATATAATCAGGATTCATACCCTCAGCTCCAAGTTTAGAAGAGTTACTTACCTCGAACAAGCCGAATCCAATGTCGAGCAAGCTAAATAATGCTCCAAAAATTCCATTATGCGCATATCAACTTCCGAGCGACTCGAATCTAGTCACAATTAATTCGATTCAGTCAACACAAATTATAGGAATTAATTCCATATCAAAATACTATTTTTCTCTAAAAATTCAGAAATTACACTCAAATATCGCATGTGGGCCCCATATTTCGGAACCCGATAAAAGTTACAAAATATGAATGCCCATTCAATCATGAGTCCAACTATACCAATTTTACAAAATTCCGACATTAACTCGACCCTCAAATCCTCAAATTAAACAAAGAGGGTTTTCTAAATTTTCCAACTTAATTCACTAATTAAATGTTAAAAACAACTATGGATTCGGGTAATTTGACCAATATTGAGTTAAGAACACTTACACCATTATTTTTCTTGAAAATATCCCGAACATCGCCTCTTCCCGAGCTCCAATTCGACAAAAATGGAAAATAAACAAACCCTCGATATTAAATATTTTTTTGCCCAATTGATCTGCCTCGGTTTGTATGCCAAACAATCTCGAAACTCTCTTTTGATACCTTCAATGCATTCCTTGTAAAATTTCAGTCAAGTTAAGCTTTTGAATTACCCAATTTGGCCTTAAAATGAAGGAGATATGATGTTTGAAGATTTAAATGAAGTCTCAAAATTTAATGGATAAAAAATAGCATTTTCGTAATTATTTTACACCAGAAAATCAGCAGCTAAAGAATTTTTGTTTTAGCATCCAAAACTCATTCGGAATCTCCCAGACACAAATCATATATGCGTTTCAATCATAAAACACGCTACGAATTTGCTCGCGCACTCAAAACACCGAAAAGAGGTCATCTTGACCTGATATTGACCATGGTCAAACTCCAAATCCTTAACTTAACTAGTTTCTCAATCAGTGATCCAAAACATACCCGAGCCCCCCGGGACCCCATTCAATCATACTAACAAGTCTTAAAACACGATACGAACTTAGTCGAAATCTCAAATCACATCAAACAACGCTAAAACTACGAATTATACCCCAATTCAAGCTTAACGAAACTAAAAAATTTCAACTTCTATATTCGATGCCGAAACCTATCAATCAAGTCCGATTGATCTCAAATTTTGCACACAAGTCATAAATAACATAATGGACCTATGAAAACTTTCAAGACTGGATTCTGACCCCGATATCAAAAAGTCAACTCTCTGGTCAAACTTCCAAACTTAATTTTCTATTTTAGCCATTTCAAGCCTAATTTAACTACGGGCTTCCAAATAATTTTTCGGACACATTCCAAAGTTCAAAATCACCATACAAAGCTATTGGAATCATTAAAACTCTATTCCGGGGGTCGTTTACACATAAGTCAACATCCGGTCAACCTTTTCAACTTAAACTTTCATCCTTGAGACTAAGTGTATCAATTCATTCTGAAACCTTACCAGACCCGAATCAATTACCCCGACAAGTTACATAATAGTTATAAAGCATAAATTGAGCAGTAAATGGGGGAACGAGGCTGTAATAGTCAAAACGACCGGCCGGGTCGTTACATGGATGGTTGTAGCAAGGGTAATCCTGGATTAGCTGGTGGAAGAGGAATAATCAGAAGTCACAATGATAATTTGCTCAAGGCTTTCTTTGGTTTTTATGGGCAATGAACCAATAATATTGCTGAAGCAAAAGTCATACTACAAGGTCTTCATATGTGCAAGACTATAGGCCTTACAAATATTGTGATTGAATTTGATTCCCTTATGGTTGTTAACATGATCAATAAGAAGAGTTAGACTCATTGGCAGATCAAACCCATTGTGGATCAGATTTGGGAGGCCATAACAACTGGCAACTTTTTGTTTGTACATATCTTTAGAGAAAGTAACTCAACTGCGGATTTCTTGGCAAACTTGGGGGTAGTTACAAGAACTCATGATGTCTTCAATGAAGTTGTTTCTATGCCTAGTCTAGTTAGAACTTTTTTGAAGTTTGATCAAGATGAGATGCCCAAGTTCAAGTTCAAAACAAGAAAGAAGCACTATATCATTACTAATGGAGATATATATATATNGGAAGAGGTCCTCAATTTTTTGTCTATTAACCTCTCAATTTTTACAAAGGTTGGTTTCAATCAACTTTCATCATGTAATACCAAGGTGTATGTCATCCTCAGTGTAATTATGATCTTTTGGAATGAACAGGTTGGAGTCTAGCCCACTCCTCCATCATAAGGATGGATTTTATTAATAAAAAAATATAATACACTGCAATAAGTAGCAACTATCCGAACTAGCTGTTAAGGAAGAATGAAATTGTCATCCATCTGTAACACATACCTAGATGTAAATAAATAAATATAATATCTTTTCAAGAAATAATAAAATTATTTTCAAGGTAGGATATTTAATAAAAAATCAAAAGTCAAATCAAACCAAACCAAAGTAAAAAATCGGCATGTACTTTGATTTGGCTTGGTACATTATCGATTAATTTATAAATTTATGTAAATATAAATATTTAATATAGAGATATTTTAAATACTTTATAATTTTGCCGCGAAAGGTTGTATCACATATTCATAGTGCTTGCTTGAATATTCTATTCTTGTATGAAGTTATAGATTAATTTATATATTGTTTCATTAATCTTAGGTACAATAGAAAAAAAATATAGATTAAGTTTGTTGTTTGATTTATGAGAATGAATAATTATTATATCTTACAATGAACACATGTTGCAGTTGATATAAGAAAAATCAATTTGTTTGATTCTTGCTAAACATATACCGATAAGAAATTATATATTTAGCTCTAATAGATTGAATGAATTGTAATTGTATTTCAGGTGAAAATCCCCAAAAATCGATAAACCCAAAATAAAAAAACCAACTCTATTTGGTTTGATTTGATTTGTATTTTATGAACTGATATCTCTAGTTAATTTGCTTTGGTTTCGATTAAAAAGCGAACCAAAAGATCAAATTAGACCATGGATATCCCTACTCCAAATAGAAGACATTTCCAACAACTAATCCTAATGTAAGTAAAATTAATTGTAATTACAACTTCACCCGACATGAATGCACTCACGAAGAGTAAAAAAACGTCGATTAAAATTTCATGTTAGAAATTTGTGTTCTTACTTTTTACCCTTGAAAAATCAAGTTAAATTATATTTCTGTTGAATTTAATTGTAAATTTGTGGTTTTGGCGCTCTTAAGTCTTAACCCTAATTATAATAAAATAAATTAAATCCTTTAGAACAACTCAACGCTCCACATATTCCTAATCCTACTCGTACATAGATTAGAAAAGCACACTGCACGTCTATATAAAAGCACCTTCTAAACTCAGTCTAGCGACAACTCTTATACTTTCGGAGTTTTTGTAGAAATACAATGGCAACTATTACTAATTTTTTCCTAGCAGATATGGAGGAAAGGTCCCAAGCTGATATGGACGAATTGTCCCAAGCTGATATAGAGGAACTGTCCCAAACTGTTGTTCTCGACGAACAATTAGTACAGAGAAATATTGCGCCAAATCTTTCTGCAATTGTTGGGACTGCAGTTGCTGCAAAACTTATAACTTCTGCTGGTGGTCTCTCGTCGTTGGCGAAAATGCCTGCTTGTAATATATTGAATCTTGGTACCAAAAGGCAGAACAATTTAGCAGGTTATATTGAGCAAACAGACATAATTCAGAGTACACCTCCTTCTTTAAGGAAGCAAGTCTGTATACTGCTGGCAACAAAATCTCTATATGCGGCACGTGTAGACTCGATCAGAGGAGACCGAACTGGAATATTTGGAAAATATCTTAGGGAAGAGATTCGTAAAAAGATAGAAAAAGGGCAAGATCAGGTCTCAAGTTCCACTGTTCTAGGATAGTTTTCTGATTTTAAATAGAGGTCTCCAATTTTATCTAGTGCGAGTAGTTTTCATTGTTTCTTGGAAATTTGATTTTAACTTTTTTGGGGTTGGTAAGTATCAGATGTATATGTTATGAGTGAAAAAGTTTCCGAATTGACCATGAATCATTTGGTTGCCCATGGTATCAACATTAGTCAGTTTTAATTGAAAGTAGGTATAACTTATTGTATAATGCTTTATGTTTATGTGAAGAAATACTGATTTTATATTCACTGTGAAATTACCGGACGACTTGTATTTAGTTGTTACAGTTTTTCTTTTTGGACAAGACATAATGCTTGTTCTCATCTTAGACTACAAACGTCCCTGATTCTATTGCGAAAAAGTTCTAATAAACTACACTTCCTTAGCAAGTACTCCCGGTTCCAATTTAGATGACATAGTTTGATTTGACACGGAGTTCAAGAAAAAATAAGAAGACTTTTAAAATTTGTTGTCTTAAAAGCTTAAGAGGTAAAAGCTTTGTGAGGCCATGATATTTGAATTATTTCCAAATTTATAAATGTGTAATTTATTTTGAAACAAACTAAAAAGGAAAACACCTCGTTTAATTTGAAATGGAGGGAGTATTATCTTTTGTAAGGGAATCCCTAACATGAATGTTAGGATCGGAAATATGTGTAGTGCGAAATTTAGCCAAACAACGTTATAATAACAATAACAAAGACAATGCAAGTTGATAATAACGACAATTAAAGTATATAAAGAAGACACAAATTTAACGTGGTTCGATCAAAATGACTTACGTCCACAAGTGGAGAGGAGCAATTTCACTATACCAACAAGAGAACAAGAGAGAGTACAAAATTAGAGTAAATACTCTAAATTAATCCCAAATACCCTAAGAGAATAACCTCACAAGATCACTCCAAAAAAAGGGTTCACACAAGTGCTTCCCAACACTCAAATCTCATACAAAACACTCTTAATAAAGGAGGAAAGGAAGAAACAAGAAATGAAGACTCAAGTCTTGTTGGTGTGATTAAAATGAACTAATGTCATTTCCTTTTATAGGCAAAAAAGTCTTGGCCTGTTAGTTGTAAAAGAAAAGATACAACTTGTGCAAATGATATACACCACACAATGCAATATTTTTAGGTCCCAAAGAATATTGCCAACAAAGTCTACACTTTGCAAATATGCTTATGCTTATGTGAGATGGACTCAACTAGCCAAAATATTGGCCATATTACAATGAATTAGCTAGTGGAACAATTTTATTAAAAATATTAAAAATAACAAAAGGAAAGAAACTTGGAAAAGAAGGGTGACATTAAGGCTTTGAGAACAGCAATTAAATTATTCGGTTGTGGAGCCAATCTGCAGCACATATTGTTATGGGCAGGGCAATATATTATTTGCTGGAGATAGCCATTGCATAAACAAGTTGATATATCACCACTTCACCAGAAAAGGAAAAGATAACAGCTCAAAAGTATGCATTCAACTGAAGGACATTTTGAGTACTGGTTATGATCAATACAAACAAGTATTTGTTCCTTGTTAGTTGTTACTGTACAGTGAGATCTTGAATTCACTGCCAGAGTATCCTGCTAACTAGTCAAGCAAAATTCTTTAACGCTGATAATCTTCACATAATATCTGCCACTTTGTACTTGAATATCGCACATCTATCGCCAAAGCATGTGGTGCAACGGATGGGGCTGCTCTTCCCTTAACCAGAGGTCTCGGGTTCGAGCCCTGGATATGAAAAAATTCTTGGTAGGAAGCGCTGAATGTGCCCAATGGGGCGCGAATCCGGATAGTTGGGCTCCAATGCGGGTACCGAACACCGGGTGAGAAATCAAAAAACAGAATATCGGACATCTAATTTACAGCTGAAGTTAGCCTCTTAAAATTAGTAGAAGAAAATTGTTACGTTCGCATAATCAGTTCCATTCATGTTTAACATAGGTTAGAGGATGGCTGCTCAAATTCAAAAGACTCAAAACTGAGAATAACCACAATCAAGCCAAGAAAATCTCTATATATCCTGAATGCTTCTTCTTCACATGTGGTTTCATGCTATTGAATCCATAGTCCATAACACATACTTGAAATCAGAGATTGAAGAAATTTATACATTGTGTGTCTGTTAAAATGCAAGAAGAATAATTTCATCCTATTGCAGAGTCTACACGATGTGACATGAGCATAATTTAAGATGCTCATGGATTTTCTGAAAATTTTGAGCATATTTGGAGATAAAGTTCCTCAAGAGCGCGTGCAATAACAGATTGAAATCATTGAAGGCCAAGCTGATTGACCTGACTTCGTGTTTGAGCTCTTCTGTTAAACGTTTTGCATTAGCAAAGCACCACAAGAAAACATGCAAGTGTTTCAAACATATTTTACTAACACCTTACTGCACAAAATTGATCAAATTTACCTTTATTATACTTTGGGTCTTTTCCAACCTGGCCTTTAGTAAAGGGATAGACATTCTGAGCCATACTATTTAGGGATTAGTTAGCACTTATTTTATTAAATTTTAAATTAAAAATCTTAACTTCAGAATAATTCGAGATATTTTTGTCGGGAAAAATTAAATTGAAAAACTAAAATTCAGAACGTATGGACTAATTCCTAAATAGCAACAAGTGACTACTTGGTGTTATTTCTACTACCCAAAGCATAAGAGAGAGAGTAGGACATTGCAATTCATTTTCAATAGAAATAAGTACATGCGCAATCAAGTTTTACACACATATATTCGAGCATAATAATATTTATACAAGTTTAATAATATTTATAGAATTGGGTTGCGAAAATTTACTAAAAAAGGATATTACACTAACCACTACGTGTAAGATGATAACTTTTAAAACAGAGTAAATAAAATAACATATTACTGCAAATCAAACTATATTGAACATGTAAGTAAATTCAATCCGAATTCACCCAAAAAAAAAAAAATGAACAACAGGAAAAAGGAGTAAAAGGCAAACAATTACAGATAGATGCGGAGGCATGATTAGTGGAATGGTAAAGTGGAAAAACTAAGACGTGGAAAAATCAATTTTATATTATACAATTCATATCATATGCTCCACCACCTTAATTCAAAAGTCATGGACAAAACATCTCTCATGAGTAATACTGACATTTGCGCCCACCGTTCTCATCTGTTGTGCTATTCCTGACATATATCAGTTGTTTTTCGAGATCCAATACCCCTCTTATGATCATCTACATCATTCCCCAACATTTATCAAACACCTATCGAGTAGTATATCAAATGACCACATACATACTAAATCACACCGAAAGTTATTAATAGTACACTTACGGCCCCACAGAATCTCTCTTTCACGTGATTCGCACGTGCTACCGACTCACGCCGTTCTGCCCGCTAATTTCCCATCTTCCGTTCACTATCCATCCATTTTCGCCTGAATTCCTTTAGCAGAAGGTCTCATAAGAGCCGGCCGCCGCGTCTACCAGCTCCGTCCTTGATCAGGCGGTTTTCTGCTATCGACGCCGTCATTTTCCGGTACCGGTGAAATTCTTCTGTTCTTCGGTGTTGTTGTAGATCTGCAACTCACTCAAGGCGATAGGCTATAGATGGAGTCAATTCTGGCTCGAGCTTTGGAGTACACATTGAAGTACTGGCTAAAGTCATTTAGCCGAGATCAGTTCAAATTGCAGGGCCGTACGGCCCAACTTTCCAATTTAGGTAAAAATTTCATCTAATTACAATTATTTAAGCTTGTTTATTGATTATACAGCTCAAATTTGGTGATTTTGGTAGATATAAATGGAGATGCTTTGCATGCGAGCGCGGGATTACCACCGGCACTGAATGTTACAACCGCAAAAGTCGGAAAATTGGAGATCATAGTTAGTAGCTCTGTCTTTCTGATATATTGTTAATCTTTATTAAGTTCAAATGTTTATTTTTCCAACTGTTTTTGACCTATACTTTGGTTTTAAAATTGAAAGCTTCCATCAGTAAGCAATGTGCAAATAGAGCCAATAGTCGTGCAAATTGATAGGCTCGACTTAGTTCTCGAAGAAAGAGATGATATCGATACATCTCGGAGCTCTAGCAGGTACCTGGATAGCATTTAATATACGACTCTCTGAGGAGCTTCTTTTGATTATTGTTGTCTCACTTCATATCTTTCTGTCAGTGCGGCATCATCTGGTAGCTCCTCGAAGGGCAGTGGATATGGATTTGCTGACAAGGTTAGCAACATTAGAGAATCAGCTTACTTGGTTTTAATGTTATGGTTGAGTGTTCGAGTTAATTGTTTACATTGCCATGGGAATTTGTATACATAATTTGTTGAGATTTGATTGAATTCATGCACAATTTAGAATGTAACAATTTAAAGTTGACAATGAAATACTGGCAATCCAATGATTCCCATCACATAGGTGTTCCAAGGAAGGATGAAATACTGAAAAATGTTTTGAAGTTTGAAGATAGCTAATGTATAGTATAATCCAATGGAATCAGTAGACCCTTAGTATTGTTTAATCAGCTTAAACCTTAGAGGTCTGTGGATGATCATATCTTCCAGAATAAGTGGGTTAGTTAAAGCATAAAGGTCTTAATTTAAGCTCTTGTTTCACCCTGTTGTAATTATTCTTTTGTTTCTTCATATTGTCCATCACCAGACTGAAAAGGAAAGGCGTATATTCATAGGGCTCTTCGACTAGTGAAATCATATGATATCCAACATGCAACGAATTGATAGTCGCAGAATTGCTCTTTTCTGTTGAGAAACCCATGTAACGTCTATGTTCTTTCATTTTCAATTTTTCTTTCGCTGAAAACTCAAAGCAGAGACTGTGTTGTATAGATAAATTTATTACATCATGTTTACTCTACTTTAGGTCGAGTGCTTTCATTATTCTACACTGACTGATTCCTATATGTACTACAGCCATCACCAGTCTTCTTATTTTCCTTGTCTTTGTGTTTAAATTCTCAATTCTGGAAAGATCATATA